CCCAACAGTACGGCTCAGGAGTACGACACTTACAATTTATCTGTAGTGCTGAGATGTAGAAATTGGACAGCTCTGATATGTCTTCAACGAAAGATTATAAGGTTCAGTGCTTAGCACATGGGTAACTAACAGCCACTTAACTAGTCACAAAATGTCCAACCTTCTATGAAAAATAAGTGCTAACTAATCTGTTCAAACTGATTTGTCACTGGATTCTGTCCTGAGCCAGTTGAATCCAGTTAAAACAAGGGCAAATCTATTGTTTTATGACTGATCTATATTTTTATTTTTAATTTCTTATTTAATCAAAGTTATGAATACCTGATATTGATAAAGGACTTTTGGGTTATAAGCTGCATGAGGCGGCTGAATGGTGAATAAACTGTACCTTCTGCCAACGTTTCGAGAGCAATCTCTGCAGAAGATATGCTTTATTCACCATTCAGCCACCTGACATGTCTTGTAACTCGAGAGTCTTTCAACTTCAGTTGCAGAGGAAGCTTCACTTTGTACATTATGAGTACCTGATTGTGACGCCGACGTGGAGGAGAACGTTTGTTCCACAGGGCTTCCAACTGATCAAAGTGCTGTGACTGAGCTAATGCTGCCTGCTCTGGTCCAATCCCCTATAAGTAAGATTCAAACAACACACAATGAAGATATTTCTAAATTATATTTACTTTTCACAAACTTCTGCCTATGGCATCATTTTTTCTTTACACAACAATTAATTATGTTTAACATTGCCCACTGTCTAACACACTCACTGTGAAAATTGAGATTTTCCATTTATCAGACATGCTTCAATACTGCCTGTGATAAAAACTCTGATTTAGCATACAACTGCTATAACTTCGGCTTCAAGCCCTGGCATTTAATTACAGTATTTATTTAATTAACACAGCATTTGAGGTATTTGTTCTGCTACTGCCTCCAAGTGATTGGTTAGCATGAATGTTTAGTATTTACTTTGTTCTGGACTTGTTTTTGAAGAAGTATTTTATGGTCTACATTTAGGTAGTGTGTGTTTGAATTCACCTGGAGAGTCTGAGGATAACCAAGCCAAACCTCAGTCAGGATACCCAGTAGTCAAGCCAAGATTCAAATTTGTTACACCCCAAATTCAAGTCATTCATTCATTTATTCAGAGACCAGCTAAATAATTAAGTTTGTTCCTTAATAATTCAATGTTGATTCTAAAATAGCAGCAACAAATTATAATTACTAGTTTAAAATACCTGTGAGCCCATGTTGCCTTTTGACGGTATTTTTGAGATCTCTTCCATGCTTGCTGAGACAGAGAACCTCCGTTTGAGGCGTTCATCCACAGCAGCCATCATGATTGATGATGTCAGATGACCATACTTTTTCTGCCAAGTGTATGTATCCAAAGAAACCTCCTTCTTCAGTAGGCGTCTCATGGGTCTTTTTGGAGCTGATGGTCTGAGATCTAAATAAACAGACCAAATATATATATCACAATGAAAGGAAAACCCATGATCAGTAACAAAATAATGTAAGTCAATACACTGGCACAGTGTTTTAATGTAAGTCTAAATGTGCTACACAACTTTGAATTCAAATGCATTTATATATTTATACTCCAGATGATACAAATTCATCATACTTGCCCTCTATTTCCTTAGCAGGAGCAACATAAGTGGGCATTTTAACATAAGTTGCTGGAGTGTTATGAAGACAGACTATAGGTAGGCAGCGGTTCTCCAAGAGGTACACGGCAATACGTGAAGCATCTGTTGACATCTCCAGATTCAGGATTGGAATATGCAACTGGAGAGAGGATATGGCACGCCCTCGTTTTGTGTCCCATACTATGATACTTTTGTCTTCAGAACCTGCAATGAGAAAATTCAGTTTATAGTAATAAAAGTAATAAAGCTAATAATGAAGATATTACTATTATAAAAAATGATCAAGGACTTGAATTCTGTTCTATAATACACTTAAATCTAAGAGCTATCATCACTAGCTTACCTGACACAGCCAAACTGCCATCTCCAGTGACTTTCACACATGTGACATAGCCAAGGTGGCCTGTAAGTACATGAATGTCATTGCCAGTGTTAATATCCCATATGATAAGATTTGAATCACGTGACCCTGATACTACCAGTGATTTGTTCAAGATGGAGACAGCCACGCATGTCACATGATCAGAATGACCCACCAATACCTGCAAAATACAAAACCATCTTGAGAATGAATGAAATCTTGATAAAATTGCAGAAAAAGTATATATTAACTGCTAGTATAAATGGCCTGAAAGGAATCACAATTTGTCTATTTTAAGATGTATTCTTTCTTTCTCACTGGGAAACTTATCAAAGCATTCAAATATATATCCTCAGCTATTATAAATGCATGTAAGCAGAAGTGGTGATGCTTTCTTGTGTTAATTATTTTAGCTGTAATACTGTAGTGGACTGTCATAACTATGTAATTTATATTTGTATTAGAAACAGGTACTGTATTTGTTAATTGATATGTTCTACATCCTTGGCTTAGGTCTGTGAAGGATCTGTGGAATGTAAAATAAATTCTATTCCATCGTTTATTTTGGATAGCATGAAAGTAGCAAAGGATGATTTTTAACCGTGGACTTTGTTAATTATTCTACACATTTCATTACAGTAATAGTGTAGTGTAATACCGTTCTTACATGCATGTTTCAGGAATATAAAATTCAGTAATATCATAATTATGTTTGTTATTCAATTTATATTGAAGGAAAATCTGTATATTTATCAACACTTTCACAGACATAATAAAAATCTTTGTGCCTGTATATGAGGCGTCTCATATTAATCCATGACTGGCATCAGTAGGAACTGCAATATTTCTGTGCCTCTTCTGGTTACATTTCAAACTACTATTTTATAATTTTTATCAGTAGGACTAATTTTTATTAAATATCATTGTGATGTTGAATTAGAATTGTTGTATTTTATATTTATCACCATGTTATGTAGGGTATAATAGAGGCATGCAAATTTGAATTTCTGACAAATTTTTGTGTTGCAACCTATGAGGAACTCCATATCACATTTGAAAAATAATATGAAAAAGCAAGACATATTAAATTTTAATATGCTGCAGAAACCAGACTTAAGTAAGAGAGTTGATTAGTGACAAACATGACTGAAAGAGGTCAATATGACCTTTCTTGGTTTACCTGAGCTAGTTTCCCTCCTGCTACCTGCCACACCTTGAGAGACATGTCCCGTGAACCTGTGATTACGTGGAGTGAATCCATTGTTAATACAAAGCATGTTACTTCTTCACTGTGTGATACTATATACTTCTCATCTTCACGATTCAATGACCATATTCGCAAACTGCAACAGAATTGTATCAGTTAACTCCTTTCTATAAAATTTAATATCAAATCATTAAAGGAATGTTGGTACCATATATTCATAATAAAACTTTTCATTCTTTAATGAAGTGTATGTATTCTTCCACTGCGCTCTCTCTCTCTCTCTCTCTCTCTCTCTCTCTCTCTCTCTCTCTCTCTCTCTCTCTCTCTCTCTCTCTCTCTCTCTCTCTCTCTCTATATATATATATATTCTCTCAGTTTCAATTGTGACACTGCAGGTTCACAAACAATTTAAACTATTAAGATACTAGACTGATGGGCAGACATAAACATAAAATAAGCCTGTGTTTATGTTTTATGTATAAAGTATATGAAAATAAATGTGTAATTGGGTAGTCTGTCCATGTGTATTTATGTATTAAATTCATGTGTTTATTGGTAACTGTACTGCAATTAGCTTTGTGACCAGAAACTTACATGTGCAGTAATGAACATATAATTAATTATGAATATAATATGATAAAGAAAGCACATGGAAACTAAAGTACACATTTTCATTTAAGAAATGGAGATAATGATACACCAGATTTATTACAGACTGATGAATGTGATAAGACTGACTCTTCTTGAGTGTCATCAATCAAAATCTAATATGAAGCACACCCTGTTTACCTGTTATCACCACTGCCACATACTACATATTTCATGTTGTTTGTAACTGCAAGACACATTCCTGGGCCAATGCACGAATGCAGCAATGTAGCATTGTCTGCTAACCATACTGCCAGAACTCCCTGCTGATCACTGGACACAACACGACGGCTGTCCAACATGATAGCCACAGCTGTGACTGTGGCTTGATGACCCTAAAAATTTTTATATATGTGCAGTTCGAAAGGAAAAGTATCACAATAGAACACAATAAACAACAAGATGCTTCTCTCCCATTTTAATGTCAAAACAGCAAATATCTTTCCAAATCTTTATAACTAGGCAAACAAATGTGAGTCTGTATTACTGGATTGAAAATTCAATTCTTTCTGTTACTTTTTGTTTCGGAGGACATTTTTAGAACTTTGAATAAAGGGACAATGGCAACATAAATTGCTAAAATAATAAAATTATGCAATCACCAAACATGAAATATATTAATACACAATAATGCCAATCAGTCCAATAAAGGAATACGTTATAACTGAACAACTAAACAAATAAACAAACACTATTTAATAGCCAAATTATGATTTTAAATACCTTCCAGGTCATTAAAATTTAACAGTTCATATCTTCATATAAAATATCAGCAGCAATTAACTGTTCACCTAACTGTACACACACACAAAATTGTGTAGAGATTATTAGTGTCATTTCTGGAGATCATGAGACCTTTTGTGGTGAAATATAATATGCAGAATAGTAAGAACCCACAAAAGATAATACGATAAGATATGTTACTTGCAAGAACAGCAGTTACAGAATTTTGAAAAAAAAAACACTCTGCTCTTTCAGAAGCCCAGGAAGTCTTTATTTTATTGTCAACTTACTTTAAATGTTGAAACCACTAGACCCAGTGTAAGGCCCCATACTCTGGCCGTCTTGTCTTCTGATCCTGAGACTGCAAATAGTCCATTTGGAGAGAATGCCACACATGTAACAGAAGCAAAGTGACCTTCCAATGTTGAGTGTAGTTCATGAGTATTGAGCTGCCAAATATTTACCAGACTGTCCACTGATCCTGTAACAGAAGACCAAATCCATTATCACCAAACTAGGATTATCAGGTATTCCTAACAGAGACCTCCTGCATGCAAAAAAGAACACTAAACAATGCACCATGATGATTTGTCATTGTGCATTCCTTCAATTAAAATTACTCATTTTCTACAGGGTTTGGTAACTTTTATAATATGGGAAAAGATGATTTACACCTCCACATTGCAGGGCTGCTGGCCATATCCTAATTCTATGGTTAATGGTCTAGCAGTATGCTAGTGTGACACATGATAGGCTGGTCTGCCGACAATGCCAATAAAACAACAACAAATTTTACGATACCTAATAATCTGAAGAATATGAAGACAGTCATTTAGGTTGTACAAACAATTATAGGTTTAAAAAGCAATAAAACTGACAAGCTTCTGAGTTATTTGAGGTCATAAAGAAGTGAAGAATGTTTCTCTATTGGAAAAACTTCATTATATTTAAATTCTATTTGATTAGATGTTAAAAATTAACCTGTAACTGCCATTAGGCCATCCCGAGAGATATCCAAGCATGTGATAGGAGCTGTGTGGTTCTGTTGAGACTGCTGTGATGTCTTTTGACTGCTGCCTAGAGGACTAATTCTGCCACTTGTAGGTCCTACTCCATCCTCACGGCGGAAGCTCCAGAATGTGATGCGATTTCCACCTAAAATATATCCACATCAAGAAGACCTCATTGTGCTAGAGGGTTACTGACAATCTAATCAGAAATTTTAGGCTTTGAATGCCAAAATAGTAGAGGATTGCACAAATCTATTTATCTTCATGAGTACTACATAACAAGTTTTTTTATAGTCAACACTAAAACTTCATTCCCGCCATTAAATAAAGTGTCAGTGATGATTGGATGCGTTACTTTAGGTATGAAATTTGTTTGTTTTTACTTTATTTAACAACACATGATGTCAAAAACATACAATTTACAGTAGTCTATATGAACTGCAAATAACTGTGATGCAGAATTTTCTCTCAGGAGTTAGTAATTATTCGACTGGTCAAAAAATTCTTTTCTGTAACAGGACCTGAATGTTCATCACTGCATTCACAGAAGCCAGCCACTAGAGAATGTCCTAAGGTACTTCAATCAAATTTATATTTTTACATCCTAATTTTTAAGATATATTTTTAATATTATTCTTCTACCTATGTTTTTATTTCCTTGGTGATGTCTTCTCTTTGGGACTTCCAACAAGTATTTTATATGCACAAATTGTTTCCCCATGCATTTTACATATTCTTCCCACCCCATCCATTTTGGCTTAATTTTTAACAGTATTAAGAGATGAATATAAATTATGAAGCTCCTAATTTTATAATTTTCTCCATCTTCCTATTACTTCCTCAAGACCCTGCTTCCAAACATCCTCAAAATATATTTTTTCTTTAGAGTTAGAGACAAAGTTTCATAGCCACAAGAAACTACATAAAAATTACAATTGATATATTCTGATCTTCATATTTTACATTTTCAGAATTTATGATGTGTCATTCTGGTTTCTTACTTTTATTTTTGCTATAGAATATTATATTATACTAACCAGCTGTCACAAGAAAATCATCTTTGTCAGTCACTTTGACTCCTGTGACATCAGTGGAATGGCTAGTCAATGTCCGACTCAGTCGGCCACTGTGCATGTCAAAGATGTAGATCTTGCCATCAGCCCCTCCAACCACAGCTCTTCGATTATCTTGAGCAAGGCAGAAAGACCTAATCTGTAAATAAAGCAACAAACATGGTCTGCAGACATATTGCACAGACACAATTTGTTAATTATTTCCGTGGTATGGGGTTTTCCTTTTACAGCACATTGTCACTCAGCTGGTCAAGAAATTCCCTGGTTTAAGGAACAACAAATTAAATTAAATTAAATTAAATCCGTGGCGTAACAGCTCCAGAGAACCAAAGCCAAGTAACTTGACTGCTGGCCTCACGTCCACATGCCTAAGCATAGGTGAACGATCATTCAACCAGATATAGGGTGACGTGTGGTCAGCACGACGAACCCCCAGCCATTGCTAGCTTTCCTGACTGGATTACACTACCCATTGTAGCTCCCCAATTTCCTCACAATGCTGGGTTGGCACTGGTCCCATACACTGGTCGAAAGCTCATGAAAAAATTTCTTCTCCCCCGAGACTCGAACCAGCGCGCATTCTGTATCGCCGGTCCGAAGCATGATGCCTCAGACCGTGCAGCTACGGTGCAGGACTAAGGAACAACAAAGTTATTACTATGTTTACAAAAGTTATTCTGAGCTAATTACATCTAGTCCATATCTTCATATCTAATTTCTCTAACAGTCAATCCTCTCTGATTTCCTGGCTCAAATATTAGGTGTCAAAGTCCACAGTTTCTTTGTAATACACCATTTTATTTTCCACTTTCTTCACTGTTACTTTTGAAGGGTTATAACTGGAAGACACTAATGTTGTCCATGATAGTTCAGTTGGTAGCATGTTTACCTGTGTTGCAGGTGATTGGGTTTTGATTCCCAGCTAAGCAATTTTGTAATTACCATGTATATAATTGTTTCAAAGACCATGCATTTCAAGTTATATTTTTATTTTTTTACAATGACACAATGACCTGTTTCTGTCTGTGGTATACTAGTTCATTCTTTCCATTGTCAGATTCTCTTTAAACAGCATAATCCATAGATCATATGTGACTCACTTTATAAAAAACAGCATTGCTCATGCATCCACACATCAAATATGGTATTTGTCATAGTTTTGTGTTTCTAAAATTTGTTGGCCAAAATTGAAATTTCTCATTCCTTGGCTATGGACTATGCTACCATTACGTGAATAAAATTTAACTGTGGATGCACATCATTATGTTAGTACAATCTATTAGCAAATCAGTAATCTGGAATGCAACCAAAAGATACTGAACCAATTTGTTGAATTTCATTTCATTCTTTTAAGAGTTTATATCTGCATACAATCAGATCAGTTATACTGAGATTAGACACAGTAATCAATTTCAAATAGAGGAGTAGTTGTCTACTGTCTCATGTAAGAGCCGTACCTCTGATTTGTGTCCACGGAGGCTATGAATCTCTGTTCCTGTAGTCAGTGAATGTAGGTATAGTTGATTGTCTTCACAGGCTGCCACTAGGAACACAGAATCACTAGATACATCAAGCATGGTAATTGGAAATCGCAAGCTAATTGTGTTCAATAGACTGAAGTTCTCCAGTAACCACAGGCAGATCGTGGAGTCAGATGAACCTGGAAGTAGTAAAAAAAAACATTCAGCCTCTTGACAAGTATACAGTTACCAATGTGAAAATGAGAAAATTGTGAAATATTTAATGGGTCCAGGATAAGGCTTTTGAAATATATAAAATGCAACAATTTATTTAGGAGCTATAATGCTCACTGAAAAATATGATTCACTGTGAACTGGGTGGCCAGAATTTGAATTCTGATAGAGGTCCCCTCCACCAGCACAATCAGTTCAGCTTTACACACCATTCATCCTCCTATCAATATAGTACCAGTACTATTTTTGGAGCCCTGAAAATGGCTAAAATGATTAATTCCAGGGGAAAACAACATTTAATTTAGTCTGTATTATATACACCTCCGTATGCCTTCCACTAATAGACTTCTGTTGTTGTTGCTCCAATTATTTAGTTATCTTGACATTCCATCTCTGCTGGCCTCAAACACATACACAAATCACACATCAGTACTAAAAATCACACAGAGGAACTCTTGAAGTGTTTTATGGATACCTTTTAAGACCCTGATCATGCAGACAATCAAACCTCAATAAAAATGATAAGGACAGTAATGTAATTAATGTTTCAGAAGCAGGTAAAACCTAGACCAGATTAGTGTGAGTCCTTTCCCTTAACCTATGTAGATGGAAAGGGGAGGCTTGAAATTGGATGTGTGATCAGTGACAGAAACCAAAATATTAACCAAAACAAAGTTAAGGAGAGGACATAATATGATTTAAAAACAGTAAATACAATATTTAACAATGCTGTTGCATCTGCAGAGATACATAATATTTGATAACACAAGAAAATCATTATGAATGCTGAATTGGTGGAGATCTATTTTGGTCTAATTTGGTTAATTTTAAGGGTCATTTTAAAATTTTAAAAAAACTTTTATGTACAATATTTTGAGCTCTTTGATCTATTTTGATGAAACTTTAAATATAGCATTTCTGTTATACAAATACTATCATGCACAACTTTAATTTATTCTATAATTTGTTTAAAAATAACTTTCAACACATTTTTATTTATAAGTATATCTGTTGGATACTTTGACAGACTGACAACACTAATATTATATAATTACTACTATGTGTGTGTCATTAACTTCAAATAACTTTAAGGACCACTTCAAGTAAGGGCTATATTGAACCTTTTACATTTTATCTTCCATGTCTTCTAAAAGATTTTAATGAATGTCTTCATATGCTCTGCCATGTGTATCTGATTTACAATACACTGCACAAAGTTAGATTTCAAATTTCCATCCAGACTACTAACTTTTTCAGGCCATGTTTAAATATATACGAGAATATTTGTTTAGGCTTGGTAAAATTGTTTGTTCCACAAAATTCATGTGCTTGTTGGGGCAGTTGATGACTTTTCAACAACTAAGACTGCTTCAAAAATAACATTTATTTTTTCATCAGCTGTAAATTTTGGGATATATTTTTCTAAGATATTGCTACTGTCTGTCATTACAATAGATTAAACTGCTCCTAGGTGTCCTTGTAAGCTAAACTTAACTGAAAAACATCGTGCTCTGATTTCCTATTATCTCTGTTTTTGACCTAACTGAAATTACATTACTGAATACATTAACAAAGTAAATTAATAGGTGATCAGTTTCTATAGGTATTTAAATAAGTAAACAAAAGTCAAGGGTGATTGGATTTTGCTGATCTAGGACAGGGACCAATGGAGGGCTCTGGGTAATTCAGTCATGAACCTTTGGTTTTCCCAAGCCATCTACTTAGTTAGGTGGTTAAACAAAAGTCAAGCGAAAGCCAGAAAGAATAAGCAATGAAAGAAAACTATAGAGTTAAAACGACTAAAGTTTTGAAGAATAAGAAAGACAGGAGAACCAAGATGCCCGTCGGACCCGAGATGAGTACATCCCCCGCAGTGTTGACCTTAACTGACGTTACAGGACCCCTGTGATGGTCTATTTTCATCACAACATCGCCTGTCAGCAGCGAGGTTATGATGACTCGTGAGTCCTCTCCGCCACTCACAATGACAGAATTGTTCAGTGCTGGGATGAGGCAGAGAACAGGAGCTATGTGTTCACTGAAACATATGGCAAGTTCAAATAAAACATGTTTGACACAGTAAAATTAAATGTAAATCATAAGCTGCATATAACAGTAACACACGAAGGTTCGCAGAATAAGAGTAGGAGATGGCACTCAAACAAACCCTACTTGTCACACAGCAACATTCATGTATTGTTAATAATAATGAAAAGCCCTTTATCAATTTGTTACTGTCTCACACGTATTACAGAATAATATTTGTTTTTCATTATACAATATTTTTATAAGAAAAGAACTGAGATTTTCACAGAAATTGAAGTTTTGGGAGTTCCTAGTTTATGCATTTACTATTTACATGTATTATATCTAAGATTCGGGAAGAAAGTGTCAACTAGGCCACTCTAGATTAATTAAATATGTCTTAATATTTTGAGTACATCAATAAGAATTCTGAACATCGTGTTCAAATAAATTACTAGTGATGTTGGCTTTACAGTTTTGGTATATCTATACAGTAGCTTCAATCATTGTGGAAATAAGTGCATATTACTTAATAAAATTTAATATACAGAATTCTTCTCATGTGGCTTTCCAGCCTGCAATCACTGCAGAGGACATTATGGTGAATAATAAGTTCTGCTGTTAAAATATTATATTTCAGACTTTTCCACATCATTAATTATGCCTTAAACAATAAATGAGATTCAAACAGTCACAGAAATGTTAATCTAGTTTACTCATTTAAGATACTTCTAGTGCCTGGTCCCTTAAAAGCATCTTAACCAGGCTGTACTGTAGTTGAAACAATGCCATCAAATAACCTAAGGATAATTACTTAAATACAATACCTATATAATTACTCTACTTAAAATGACAGAAACTTCTGCTTACTATATTCGGAGTTTAAGTTTGAGCAATTTGAGATCCCATACAATTATTGAAATATCATCTGAGCCAGTAAGAAGATACTGAGATTGTTTTGTGATTGCTAAGCAGAGAACTGGTCCACTATGACCTGAAACAAAAACAGAAAGGTTAAATTATTTAACATATAGCTTACAATTTGGGATATGACATGAGTGTGACTTTAAAATTCAATATTTTTAACATTTCGATGTTCAATCTCATTAGACATACATAAAAGACACCTGTCCACTCTCATGAAGTTATCTGCATTCTAAACACTACAACACACACTGCAGAACTTTCCTCCATACAAAATGTTTTAAATTATTGTTATTATACTTCTTATATAATTCCAGGTCTTCTTTCTGATGATATGTAACGGCATACTGCAACCTGCAACCCTACCCTTTTATTTTTGACATAATAATAACAATTAAAAAATAAAGAAAACCAATTTCAGTTCAAGGGGAACCAAGAAAATTTGGTTAAACCACAAATGGAATCTGCAGTGAGCAAAATTTTTAAACATAGAAGGCACAAATGTGCAACACTGACAGAATACAGACCACATGAAAGAAGACACACAGGATGATCTTTGAAGAGGCTATTGTACAACTGAGGCTAGAACAGGTCTAAAATGGCCCAACTCTTTGGCAGTTATATCATGATCAAAGAAGAAAGTGTTGTACCTTTGAATGTGTAAGTGAGAGAGTTTGACATAACATGCCATAACTGTGGGTCTCCTGTTTGTGGGACCACCACCACGTGCTGTCCAGATGGAGTTGGCTCAATCAGCTTCACTCCAGCTGGACAATGTAAACCTAAAACATACCAGATTGTGCACATCAGTAAAAGGATTACTTCAATGGTTTAATGTGAAAAAGTCTACAGCACTTACCAATCTACAGACGTATGGGAAGAATGAAGGGAATGGGAAAAAGTACAAGAGGGATACAGAAAAGAGATCAAGAGGGTAAGGAATAAAAGTATAAAATAAATCATTCACCATTGAATTTAAAGGAAATGTTACACTAGCTTATGAAATTCCCTCTAGTATAGTTCTCTACTACCTGAAAATTTCATGTTTAGAATCTTTAACCTACAAAGAATTTTTCATCCATATTTTGGTTATGTTTATAATCAAAATTAAAAACAGTGCTGCAGCAGTATAAAAAATGGTAGGTCAACATTTTATGATTTATGTATTTGTAGATAAAAAATTTATCCTTCAGGATTTGTCTGGCAATGCACATTCGCATATCTCACATGTGCAACAGAGAGAGTTTAACAAATTACATGCAAGGGTAGTTAATTTTTTCCCACAAGAAGACTGCTTTAACATAGTTCTCTTTTTCGACTTAACCATCTTGAATATGCAATCAAGAACTACTAGGGTATAATACAATGGTTTAGTTGCCAATAGTGGAATATTGTTCAACAAAATAATTCATTACAAAGTATGAAACAAGAAGAATATTGCTGAACCACACTGCCAAACTAGAGTTATCAATTTAGTTAAACCAAAGACTTGGGTAAATGCAACTGTCCCTTTAAATATGTCTTGATTTAAGAAATATTTCAAATATTGGTGCTGTAATGTAATAAGACATTAATCAATTTTTAGGTTATTTAATAATATTGTTTTAACTTAAAAGGCTGTAAAATGATGAATTGGATGAATGGTGAGGAGAAGAAATATGATACAAGGTAGTCACAGTTTACTTCAAGGTACTGTCCTTATATTTTTACCTGCAAAGTCTGAGAGAAACCTCAGTCCGGATAGACTATAACAGGACTTAGATTTAAAGTGGTTATCTCTTGAATATAATTCTAGACTATTACTGTTACACATACCTACTTGATAAAATAACAATAAACATTAACGAGACCTTTGTTCTTTGTAACAAAGTCATTTGGCAGTGTCAGTGCATTCTGATTAGTTTCAAACTTAGTATCTTGCATTATCATAACATATATTGTAAATTTGTGCATAAGCAAGAATGCTACATCAGAGATGAGAAACATCAAAGCTATTTTACTTTTAATCTGAAGTGGTAGTGGTGGTTGAAGCCATCCATTTAGTGGTACTAGCAGAGGTGCAGTATAGCCATCACACCATGCCATGGCACAAGTTATCATGTGACTCACAAGATCTCCACTGGCATCTGTAAACAGAAAGTTGTAAAGACAATTGATTATACTATAATTTTAACTGCATGAATATAGACTCCAGAATTTCAGAAACAGTTCTGTACTTTGGTTTCTAAATCCTAATAAAGTTCTCAGAATTTCTGAGAATTTTAACATTATTTTTCAGAATATTTTATGAATTTCTGTGTCTGTTCTTCTGCTTGGTCATTGAACTGTCTTCAACTCAGCTTCATATTTGGATGTCATTGATTTGATTCTTAACCCACACATTTAATATTCTGATAACAGTTTTTATTGTTTTTAGTCCTCTCAGGCAAATGTTGGAATACTACTTTAAATAGGCTCCTTTCACATCTTTTTCTATATATGCTACACAATACAAGAACTACCACATAACATTGCATTGAATATATATTTTTGGTATTCTACCTGTGATTGACAAATCAACAGGGCAGGCAGTATTATATAAACTGATTTATCCCTTATGCCTGCACACTTGTTAGGCATTCTTTAAATTTTTTCTTAAAATTCTGATCATTTCTGCTCAGAGTGATATTCCGAAGGTACTCAGTTTGAATTTCAGTCAGACTACAAGCTTGGAAAACTGAGGATTTTTGTGGTTTTCCTCAGTCTGTCCAGGCAAATGTCAGGATAATGCCTTCAAAAAGCCCTCAACTACATTTTTCCAAATCCTTATCTATGCACCAGTAATGATAATCTTTGTATCTCATGTAATGATACATAACTTCAGCAGCACTGTTAACATATAACAGAATCAGTCATGAATATTTTGTGTACAAACCTGCAACAGGTCTCAGCCAGCAGATGACCTGTGCCCCGAGCTGTAAGGGGTCACGTGTTAAGACATCACTAGATTTCCTGATGGTGTAGTACACCAGTTCCAGGTCCCTGTCCAATAAATAGCAGCGCACATGTTCTAACACACATCGCAGGTAACTGACAGATACAGTCTGTACTGCAGCCAGCAGGAAATCAAAGTTGCACACCGTCAGCTGCTTCAGTCGGCTGCTGTCACCTGCAGGGGCAATTTAATATTACATCAATCATGTCAGTTAATGGAAATATTAATGCATATTACTGCTGTAATTTTTTTATTTATATATGTATATAAAGAATTTGAAAATGAAGAGCTAATTAAAAGTAAGAGTTATGTGATAATTAAGACCTTTAACATGTAATATTTTTTATTGCTGAATTTCAGAATATTATGTGCTGAAGATGTTACTTACCACATAATACCAATAACAAACTGGCGCGCTTACATATAATATAACAGTTAAAGAGTTAAACTTCCATATGATAAAAAGTTACACTCATTTACATAAGATGTATATACTGTTAAATATAATGTTATGTTAGCATTTCAAGAGGAATTTCTATCATTCACCATAAACACCAAGCCATTGGTTGCCATGTTGCCAGTTACTGGCCACACTGCATTCCTAGAGCTAAAACTAAAATGTAAATGAAGGAGTGGTATATATTATTCAGCTGCTTTAAATCAAAAATAGCCATGCACATACTTCTTGCAGATATGTTATACATACACAAAAGCCATAAAAACACTACATGTACAAAAGAATAGTTCAGAATGTGTGGGCTTGTCAAAAGTATAAATGTTTCTACTTAAGGAGACAAGTTCAGTTAATTAAAAGTGTTTATTTAATAAACTATTCTGATAACTGGGAAGAAAATGCAGTTATATGTAAGGTAAAAGATTAAGAGGATTATTTTATTTCTTTACATAAATTCCTCTCATACCAGCTTTGAGCAGATGGATCCATGATTCCTCTACATGTCGCAAACTGTATGTGACATCATCTAACTGCAGTGTAGTTTGAAAAGGAGTTTCTTTGTTCTCCATCGGTGATGTATCTGAAAACAGAGATAGTATGATGTCACGCAGATGTGATGAAAATCCTTTTGGGTGATCAGTAGCATCAATAATGTAAAAAAATTAATTCTGAGATTTGGGGTTCTCTAGGTGGTAAAGACATCAAAGATGCTGATCATCTTCTGGGTTGTGGTGCTGCAGCATTGCACATGGTTAGCATTGTTTCAGAGGAAATTCCAACAAAATGTTAGTACCCATGAAAAAGACTAAATAATTTTTAGAACAAAACCTTCATAATGGAGAATATAAATATGTAAAATAAAATATCTCTTAAAGTCATAAAACATCTTTGCCATTATATCTGTTTTATTTATAACTGTATTTTTATAGACAAATTTTAAAGTAAATACAAGTATTTTATTGCATAAATATTAAAATAAGAAGACATCAGAACCACATTTTTTCCTTAGTCAGATGCAGATTCTTTTAAGTAAGCTGAAAGTCTTTGCCCCTGATAAAGGTCATTCTTTGCTATTCTGAAGAATACCGGGCTATTCCTAAGTTTCTGGGCTGATATCCTGCTATTTTCCCTTGAGCAAACCATCATTCTTACTGCCATTCATTCATTTGTAACAGCAGGATTAACCCATGGATATAATCAAAATTGGTTCTTTTATGTGTTTTCTTCACACACAAACACTCCCCACTCAAGATTGACCTAATGCCATATTAAATACTACACTAAAGAAAACATAACAAAGATATGAGATTGACAAACATACGGACCTTTTCACTGAGTAAAGTTCTTCATGAAAAATTGACTAAGAAATGCCCTGCCTTTATTGGAATCCAAAAGTTCATTTTTACCACTATTCTGCTTACAAAGAGCCTGCCACTGAACCCCATTTTCAGCCAGTTAAATCCAATCTAATATTGAAGATTTCTGTCTTCTGTGTTAATGCGCCGTGTAGTCTGGTAGATTTCCGCCAACGTTTCAGAGGTCATACTGCCTCCATCATCAGGGCGATGAATTCATAACCCAGAGGACAGCAATCTTCAGACTCACTGCTGTGAAAACGTCAAATCCTACAACCTAATATTCTTACGCCCTTCTTCAAAATTCATTTTAGGTTCTTAGCTTCAAATTTTATGACCAAAAATAAAAATGATTTCCTTGCCTCCTTATACCTACTACATGCCACAACGCCTTGGCAACAACTTTTTTTGGAAGAATAAAATTATGAAGTTCCTCATTATGTAACTTTCTGTAGTCTCGTATTACTTTCCTCCTTTTAGGTTCAAATTTTCTGCTCAGCACTGTTCTTAAACATCTTCAGTCAACATTCTTTCCATAATATGAAGGACAAAATTTTAGACTCAAACAAAATAAAAAGTAAAATCATAATCTTCAGATTTTTTAATAGGAAAATAATTGTGTAATAAACTGGATAACCAAGTAATTAAGTGCCTATGGGCATGATTCATGGAAGTAACAAAGTGAGTGAATGAGTAAGTAAGTAAGTTGTTCTCACCTGCCTGTTCTGTTTCTGCATCACTGCCCTGTTGTGAAAATTCACTAAAGAAGAGGTTTGCAATTTCACCATGAGTTGATCGCAGGGAATCCTGGCTCTGCAGATACCTCTTGCGGGCCACCTCTGATGTCAAGTCATGTCGCCAACACACCAGCATCTTCCCACTCATCAGCTTCTCACGAATTAGAGGCTCTGGAGTATAAACCAACAAATTACAGAAGTTGTGAACTCGTCGGTTGATACTAAACGTTTGACTCAGTTCACACCCAAAAGCAAAATTATACACACCAACTGCATTAATTTGTCTGGGGGATGAAGCCAGCAACAAAGGAGTAAGGTTATTACGTGATTATTTTGTAAACGAAGATCCATGGATGACAAGGAACTGTTGGTGAAAAAATTTAATGATGTTCGTCTCTCATTGACATGTTCTGATAACACCTGAAAGGAAGAAAGTTATGAAGGAGCATAAAGAGGCGAGCAAACAAACAAATAAATAAAGAGGGCAGAAAGAAGGCAGGAGAAAAAAGTGCGAAAGGGAAAGAAATACGAATAAAGAGACGGAAAATAAAGGAACGAGAGGTCGCTAGCCATGTAACTCACCCATCCTCCGCCGCACGGCGCATAGCGTCGAGAAGTTGTAATTGCCGCTGCGGAGCGTGAGAGTGGCTGCGCTGTTGGATGTGGGCATGAGCAGTTCCAGGAGCTCTGTCTCGGACAGACCGAACTCAGTGCAAGTGAGGAAACTTGCCAGTCGCCCGATGGCCAGGTTCCCGAACAGATTCTCCAGGTCATTCAGCGCCGACTCGATGCGCGGCTCCAGCGTGGCGACCCCTGGGGAATCAAATTGAAACACTATTTAAGAAAACCAAATGCTCGGTATTTCGCACTGCAACAAAGGCCAACCAACGCAGAAGTTACAAATCGTCGTATGAAATGACACGATCATGAATGGATATGAGGATTTGGAAGGAGACGGCAGTGACCTATTTCAATTTTCGAAGAGAAAAGTAAGGAAAATCTCGGTGAGTAGCTGGCATTCGTACCCTGAGCCTCATGAACGCAAGTCTAAAGCTTTGCCGCTACAGAAATCTATTTGGCAGGGCAGTTAATATGGCCTTTTAATAAAACTGAAAACATCAGTTTCAAGTAAAATTCAAGTTTCGACTCTACGAGAAGAATGTTCGGTATTCCACACACACAATTCTGAGGAGGGTATTTTGACTTGGGAGACATTAAGAAAGAGAGGACTGGAGAAAATAGCGTAATGATGTAATAATGAGCTTCATATTTTGTAATAAAATTATGGCCAACATATTATACAAGTTGATAAATAAGTAAATCAAAAAGGAGTGTGTGAGAAATGTATTCAATATTTTGGACAGAATACTTTAAAAACAGAGACCATTTCGGAGACTTAGGGTCCAATGGCGAGCTTTCGTGCACACGATGTCCAACATTCATAACTCTACGCAGTGGCGTATCTGTTGTGTGAATAGTTTTGTACATCCTGCAGTGGACATGTATATGAACTAAATGGACAATATGACCAACGAATGAGGTATGAAAATTTGCAAAGAACGCATTTGTAAATGAAACACACTCCGTCTTGCAGTACAAAAATTCACTTTTGTTTTGTTTGGAGCTGTCAAAATCTGTGGCCAAATGGATTTCGCGTTCTAAATTATTTCTATACACACGGCCTTTGTGCATAGGCAACACTTTCTACACATTTGTAACGCGTGCATTATAAATATTTTACAAAGGCAGGAACGTTACACATTTTGAGTACCAAACTTTTTTCAAACACAAACGCTTTTCAGTATTGTATTACTGCAAATCTATCTTGCCATGCTGCTTCCAGTGTTGTTAAGTAACAAATGACGAATATATTAACAAGCACAATACGCCCCGATAATTATGTTTTATGACAGTCTATGATTTATAAACTCTTTTGACGGTGCTTACAAAATATCTTCGTTAGAAGCACTGGCCTGGATATGCTTTTCTTTCAAACGTATTTGGGACTTTTCAGTAATAACAAAATCAGAATGACGTATCTTTAAATACATTTTATAATACAAAAAGTATTCTGCCAAGATAATACGACACTCACCGGGATCTGGAAAAAGCTCGATGTAGCAGTCTGGACTTCGGAACCTCTCCCTTTGTACAGGTGTCAGTTTCAATGACTCTGGAGGCAACAGAGTGGTTCCAACAATGTGCACATTTCTGGGAAGACTGATTGGCAACCATGACAAAGCCGCGACAATGTCCGAGTCCAATGGATTCAAACGGTGAAGGTCATCGATTAGAATAACAAGTAATTCATTCGTAGCAGATTCTTCAAACCGCCGTACTAGCGTTTGAAACCAGTTATTAACATACAGAGGATCGAAGGATGCGTCTTTAGGCAAAAAACCATCAGAAAGATGGAGAAGGAGGCAAAGTTGTTGACATATCACACGGAGTAGCTCCAGGTTATATGCGGAGCGCGGAGTAGCTCCGGAGAATCTGACGATGCGGAACAGACGACGGCCAAACCACGCTTCGCAGTTGGAGTACACAGCGCCTATGATGGAGGATTTACCGGTACCGTGGGATCCATGGACCAACACCGGTCCGTGACGTGTTCCGGGGCCAACAGTCTCATAACCGGTAATCATGAGAGTCTTGATTCTCTCAAGAGTATCGGTGCCAGTCCAATCAACCGCCTCCTCACTGCACATGTGCTGCTGGCACAGTGCCAGGTGGCTCAGCGTCTCTTGGAACACTTCCTGTAAGAGGCAAACTTAATTGGCACATTTATTACATTATTGCATTCCGCGTATCAATGCAATGGACGTAAACACGGACAAGGAATAAGTACACGTTTACTACTACAAAAGTCCCTTCACAAAATCCGCTGTTGAATCTACGTGTTTCTGCCGACGGTGTGTTAACAATAAACATAACTATTATTGAGATGATAATGTTGCGTCATATTGTTATGATTATAATTGTTTAATTTTAACCATCTAATCACAATAAAATATTTTATTAAATATTAAAATATTATTACTACAATTAACATTCAATATTTAAAATATTTAAAATATATTAAAATGATACAATTAGAGCATGATGCTCTAATTGTAAAACGAACATTTCGATAGAAGGAGCATAATTTTAATATATTTTAAATATTTTAAATATTGAATGTTAATTGTAGTAATAATATTTTAATATTTAATAAAATATTTTATTGTGATTAGACGGTTAAAATTAAACAATTATAACTATTATTATTAACATTATCCGTAGTCTCGGTTTTATACAAAACATAACGTCTCAGAAGCCGGAACTGTTTTCATTAGGTAATAAGGGGGAAGGAAGAGATCTTACTCAGTTGTGCCTCTTACAACGAAAATGTCTTAATTGCAGGATCTAGCTTGTAATACTGCAGAATGTTTCATACAAAAATTTTCTTCACAAATTTTTAACAAGACTGGAAACTACCCTCCACAGTGGAATGCGCTTTATTTTCTAAA